TTGATGCTCTCCAAGCTGGAGGCTCCGTCAGGCGCGCTGCTCACCTGAGAGAGACCCAGGCGTGATTCCCATGTTTGCAGGTAAGAGCGAGGATGAGCCGGGGGCTGCGGAGCCGCCGCCGGGTCCCAATGCAGCCGTCGCCGGGCCCGGTTCCCGGTTCCCAGTTCCCGGGCTGCCCCCGAGCTGCCCTGGCTGCCCTTGCCTGGCAGAGCCGCGCTGGGATCGCTGCTCCCGGGGAGCTGCAGCCGCTGTGGGGCCGGCGGCAGCACCTGCAGCGGGAAGCGTGCAGAGGACCGGCCCTGTCGTGACAGTTGTGGCTAGGAAGGGGGCAGAGGGAGCTGGAGAAGCGCTCGGCATCCGCTGCCTTGTGCGGGAGCATCTCGGGCGGTGATGAGCAGGATGCTCCCGGTTTCGTTTTGCTGCTTCGTGCCCTATGTCGAGAGCCGAAGCCCCACAGGAGCCACGAAAGCAGCTCTGGGGGTCCCGGGGGGGATCCTCCACCCTGCACTTGGGGACACAGCTCGTGTCCTGCTCCTCTGCAGGGACAGCTCCGTGCACGACGGCCCAGGGCTCGCACATGGACATTGCTCCATGCACAGCCCGCGAGCCGGGGGGCTGCGCAAGGCAGAGCCCCCCCGAGGGAAGCGGCTCTTCGTTTCCCGGTACCGAGTGGTTTCAGACAGGATTATTTATGTTTGACAGAGCAGCTCGCCCAACTCGGAAGGCAGTGGGGGAGTGCTCGTGCTCATCAGGGTAGACAGGTTTCTGACAGAGTAAATTGAAGGTAAGAGAAGGCTGCACTTGGAGGTTCAACAGCTTGTCTTCTAGCCTGAAAAAGAGTAATGAGATCAGTGTAAAAAAAAAACCCTAAGTGGTAAAATTAAACACCGAAGCCTTCCATGATGGATGCCTGTCATTTTAGGGAACCTGGCTGCTATTCCGATGCGTTTGGAGTGCCGACAGTTTTCCCGATTGACCTCGCTGGAGCAATAGTGCCCTGCGGATTAGGTTTTCCCTCTTGTACCTTATCCCTGTGCTGTGTCAGCGTGTCCTGCTAAAGGACAACAGCTTCTGTATGGGGTTTCATGAACGAAATGCATGAAAACGCTTGCACTTAGGCACTCGTGTGATGGCCTATGGCTTGCAGCCCTTTATGGTTGTTTTTCTTCTTTTCTGAAGGGAGCAGAAAGATGCCCTGAAGTTGTCACTTGGTGAAAAGACAAGTCAAACACCTCAAGGAGCACACAGCTGTAATTAAACCTGCAACCTCCTTCCTCCCCACGCTGCTATTTCTATGCAGCACAGCAGCAAGAACTCGCAGGGACTGGCGCTCCGAAGGCACCAAGAACTTCAACCAAATGCCCCCTCGAGTGCCAGGCAGGGATTTATCAGTTTTCCCTCCCTTACTGGTTTTCCTTTCCAAAAAATATGGTGATGGGAGAGGGGAAGGGAAGGAAGGAGCCGCTTGCTCCTTTCTGCTTCCTTTTCAGCAGGCTGCAAGTGCAGGTAGCTCCGAGCCGGCTCGAGCACAACAGCATCGCAGCAAAAGCGGTAGCAGCGCCGTGTTTGTTAACTGCAGCTCCGCCGGGCTCTGGCTGCATCCAGCAAAGCTTTGCAGGGAGTTCCACTTGTCAGGATCCATCCTGAGCCCTTTCCGTGCAATAATTCCATGCAATAATTCCGTGCGATAACTGCAATGGTCTCCAAAGCCTCGTGTGGGTGAAGCTAGAGTCTGGTCTGAAGGTTTGGTTTGGGACTGAAAATATATTGGGTGATGGAGTGTGACCCTCTTGAGACCTTCTGGACACATTGAGGTCATGCTGAGACCTCCGTGCTGAGGTAGAGCAGTGGGAGCAGCCCTGACACGAGGGCTCTGCAGCCACCAGGCCAGGCAGAGGAGAAAGCTTAAAAATTCGGGTAAGGTTCTGAAATATTCTTGGATATTTCAATGAGAAGGAAGCTGTTTTGGCTGAAATTTCAAGGACTGGCCCTGCAGTGGCCGTTTGGGATGCTGTTCCCAGATGAATGCTTGGATGCTCGCCAGGGAAAAACCACATTCAGGCCGTGGCAGCTCCCACGCAGGCCCTTGTGCTCCCCGATTTTACCTGCCCTGCTGGTAGCTCAGCCCAGCCTACTCCTTGCAGTGCAATTCCTCCTATTCCTTACCTGCAGAACAAAAAAACCCACCCATAGTGACAAACCAGCGTCATCAGCAGGCAATTGGAGCTTGTCAAGCTTTGCACTGCACTAATTTCCCCGCAATGGGGAACGCGTGCACCTGCCTATGATCATATAGGGGACGAGCTATAGGGCGCCGTATGCAACGCCTACATGGGGCCGTATGGACGGCATGGGGCCGTGCACGCAGCCCAGCCTCCCTGCGGTGCCGTCCCCGCTCCTTGGCGTGTATCAAAGAGGTGGAAACTTGTCCCATTCCCTTGCAACAATATCTGACATTACCCGAGCAGTTTGCCCTTGGTGTGTTTCCAGAAATAGTTGAGGGCTACAGTAGACACGGGTGACATCTGGATGCATTACCGTGGCGCTCGGAAACACTCAGCAAACAAGACAGGATCCTTTGTTTAAAGGTTATTTCAAGAGACTCCCGGCGAGTTAGCTGGCCATGCAATGGGGAGAGCCTTAATGGCCCCGTGCTAATTGCCTTTTTTCTGAAGGATGGTTTTTTTTAGAGGAAAATTGCAAGAAGCCCAAAAGCGGCCGCCCTACCCGTGGCACAGACTTGATGGAAACAGGAAAAAAAGGGGGTTTTCTGTTTGCTTCGGTGGTGGGTGGATCAGCCTGTGGGGAGACCAGGGTCCAACAGTGACAAGGAGCCTCGGAGCAGAATTAAAGCACCATAGGGTCCAGGTTGGCATGGGAGGAGAGAGAAAGAGCTTCCTCCCAAGCTTGGAGGAGAGAGAAATCCCGTTTGCAGGGAGCAAAGCAAGCAGCTCAGAGCCCGTGCAGCGCCGAGCCTGGCCCCGGGACATGCGGATTTGCTTCCCGATGCCCGTTCCATGCACCTTGGCTAACACCAATGGAGCGGGACTGGGGCCACGTGCTCCCATGTCTTATATGCTCCTTTGCCAACAGTTTTCACCATTGAAACCAACACTTGTAGGGCCTTTTTTTTTTTTTTTTAATTGCATTTCTATTAAATTCCAGCTTTGGCTTCTGCACTGATCACTCTTTTTCTGGCATAAAGATGATGATCTTCTTGCTGGGCAGGATGAAGCCCTCTGCATGGCCAATGTTCGGGATGGTTTCGAGGCTGCATTATGGATTTTCTCTGATTATTGAAAGATCTCAGCTGCAGAAATTAGTGATAATGGGAGTGTTTTGAGTGGTGGGGTGGCCTTCCCTGGGCTGCAGCCCCCTGGGTAGCTGCAAGGCTGCAAATTTTGCAAAAAAAGGGAGGTTTGGGACTTCCCTATGCAAGGGGATGCCTGTAGGCAGGAGGAATACACAGGGAAGTGCCTGAAAGCTGCTGTTTTACAGCATGCAAATTGTAGCTCTACTTACAGGGATGATTTCCTGCCAGAAAAATTACCTACCTACGAGCAGCTTTGCTCGTTTTTATCACCAATTTTCCACCTTTGCTCCCTGGGGCTGGATGTTTATTTTTTTCCTCCTGGAAATAATATATTATTTCCTGCCATAACTGGCAGCAATGCTGCAATCATCTCTATAGACCTCGGAGCGCAAAGACGGAGACTGCTGGTTGTGCTTGTAACGCAGGGCCTGGGGCATACGGCAAAGAGCAGCTTTGCACGAGGAAAACCTGGAAAAGTCCAAAATATGCAGTTTTTGGCAGGTTTTGGTGAGCGGGTTGTTGGGCACTGCCCTCCTCTGGTGCAGCGAACGGATGCAACTTGAGTTGAGCCATGGAAATGCAGGCAGGTGCTGTCAGGAAAAAGCAGGGATCTCTTCAGGAGGGGAAGGAGAAGAAGGGTTCATTTTGGTTCACCCTCGGGGTAATTTTGCGGAATTTTAGACAAAATACAGGCTGGGGGATTACTTCAACCATAGGCTTGTCCCATGGCTTTTCCATACTCCTTTTCAATTGCAGGCAAGGAGAGGGAATGAATCTGCCCATGGTTACCCCGTTTAGCATCGCTGCCTTCCTGGAGTTATTCCTGCCTCTCCCAGGGCCTTGTTGGGAGTGGATTTGGTTCTCAGAAATTCAGATTTTCTTGTTTTGGATGTGCCTTCCCGATCCATCCCATGTGCACACATCAGCTCTAGGGCAGCGCGTGTTATTTAAGAGCGTTCGGTACCAAATTCCCGGTTAATACAAGTGAACTTGGTGAAAAGAAGTGAGCTCATCGAAGGAAACTTGTTCACCCATCAAGTGAAGGGACGAGACCTTCAGCCGGGAGCTGGAGGGTCTCATCCCACCCATTCCCACGGGCTTTCCGGCTGGCTTGGATGCAATCCCGCACACACGTTGTGACCGGGGTTACCTTCCTCTGGCTTTCCGTGCCAGCAATAATATTTATTTGGCTCCTGGGAATGGAGAGGAAATGAGTCCGGTGGCGTGCGGAGAACCCTGCCGCGCTCTCAAGGGCTCCAGCGGCGTCAAGGAGTCACCTCAAAGGCAGCGGCTGCGTCGCCGGGATGCTGATGGCAGGCAAAAAGGTACCCGGCGTTGTGATATATCATGTGTTTTGATTTCGGAAAGATGCCATCCCTGGGAACAGTCGATATTTCAAACATTTGATCCCAGCAGCTCTGTGAAGCCCACGTGTTTCCAGGAGGAACAATCTGTGTGAAGGGTTTTGGCTGTTTCTTTATTTGTCAAATGATGATTTTCAGCTAAGCTGTATGAAATACTTAATCTTTTCTGCCTTTTTTTTTTTTTTTTTTTTTGCATATGACTGCTTTGTTGTTGTAGGTTCTCTTTCCTCTGAGTTAAATCTTTTCTCTCTTGCAATGTTCAGGAAAAAGCTGCAATTGAATTAAGGTGAGAAAAAAAAAGAAAATTTACTGGAAATGGGTCATTATAAGTAGCCAAGAGCCCGAAAATTACTCTCAGACTGCTGTCTGTTTTCACTCTCCCGATGTGGCAATGATAAATCCT